ACTCCATGGCCAACGGCAACCTGGGGAGGAGGGAGAGGATCTATTTAGCGTAAGCACCCAACCACAGGTGATCTTGAGGGATGTTAGGGAAGGAACACCAGCAGGTGCAGGAACCTTAAAGCAGTGCTACAAACCACACAGGTTTGCTCCTGTGGAGCCTGCCTTCCTTCAGGACCACCTGCCCAGGGACGTCAATGCCCGCAGCGTGCTGGGCACTTCTATATCATTCATTAATAAAGAAAAGGCCCCACAGACTTGTCCACAGGACAATCTGATGGAGGCAATTCCTTAACTGTCCATCTCTTTAGAGAGGTTTGCATAAAATGGCACCCACAGACTCATAGGGAGTGGCACTGTTGGAGGTGTGGCCTTGTTGGAGGCAGTGTGTCAGTCTTGTGCTGCCTGTAGATCAAGAGATCAAGTAGAACTCTCAGCTACCTCTCCAGTACCGTATCTGCCTGGTTGCCGCCATCTTCCCCCATTATGATGATAATGAACTAATATAATAAACCTCTGAAACTAAACCAGCCCCAGTTAAATGCTTTCCCTTTACAAGTTGCCTTGATCATGATGTCTCTCCACAGCAACAGAACAGAGATTAAGACACTCTTCCTGGGTAAATCTAGCTTTGTGTCAAGTTGACAAAAAGTAACCAGCACATCTACTAAAATTATTATCACCTCTAAAAGCAATCTATAATGCAATCCTCATTAAATTTACAACGACATTCATCACAGAACTAGAAAAAAAATCCTAAAATTCATATGGAAGCACACACACACAAATAAACAGATACAGCAAGTGTCATCAAAGAGCACTGCTGAAGGCATCACACACCTCAAACTCTACTACAGAGCCGTAGTGGAAAAAACTGACACACAGACCAAGCACAGAACAGAGGACCCAGAAATAAACTTACCCAGCTATGGCTAATTTTTGAACAAAGGTATCAAAAACACACAATGGGAAAAGGCAGCATATTCAATTATGATATCCGCAGAACTAACATTTATTTGCAGAAGAATGCAATTAGATCCTTATCTCTCACCTAGTACAAATACCAGTTTAAAATAGACTAAAGACCTTACTGCAAAACCCACAACACTAAAACTGCTAGGGGCAGACACCCCAGTTACTGACATAGGCAAGAACATCCTGACTAAGCACCAACCTCGCAAGGGAAAGTCTCAGGAATGGACAAAGTAACATCTAAAGAAGAAACACAGCCTACAAAATGATAGAAAACCCTTATTATTTTTCAGACAGGTTAATATCCAGAATAAAAAACTCCAAGAATTAAACAACAAAAGACTAAGCTGTCAAACAGTCCGGGGTTCTTCCACTAACTCGCTGAGAAATCCTTTAACTGGACGTGTAGTTCCAATAGTAAAGGGAATGGCAGACACGTGGCGATACAGCCCGACGTATGCTTAGCTGGCCCCTTTCTACCTAGTGCTGAGCCAAGTCTTCACCTCTCCTTCAAAGCAGTATGCAAAAACACCTATTACCAAACACCTAGCTGGCAAACAGATGGACCAGGGAATTCCCTAAGCAGCCACGCTTAATGCTTCCACCTGTATTTTTGCCATCTTACCTTGTCTTTCATTTGTTTTTCGCTATCCCAGTAACAATATTCTAAGCCTTTCTTCACTATCAAGATCTTGAACCCATCCTCTCTTGAAATTCAAGCTGTCCCTATTGCTTGTTCCTTCCTCTTGTTTTTCAGGCTTCCTTAAACTACAAACATGCTTATGTTTATAATCACTTTTCTAAACATTTATTGCTGGGGATGGTGTTTATTGTAGAGGAAAGTCTTCTACATTGCTCAGGATGAACTTCTGGGCTTCATGTGATCCTCCTGACTCAAATACCAGAGTACTAATGGCACTATTAGTATGTGCCACTAAACCCAGTTATTACCGAACACTGGACTTACTATGTGCTATTCACAGCTCTATATTCTACAGTTACACACATCATCTCTGCCCTTATCAAACTTGTATCTGTGGTAGGTGAAGCTGACAACAAACAACAAATAACCACAACTCTGTAATTGTCAACATATAAACACTTAAAGTAAAACATAGTGGTTTAGTTGAGCTACACTTAGCCAATGTGTTTATAGTTGTCCTTTTGAGCTCTTCACTGGGAAGGTAATATAAAAAGTACAAAAGTGACTCAACTATGTGATGGTCTGATCCAAAGTAACTCACAATGCAGCGAACAAGATTCACAAAGGCCCTGGCTAGGCATCTTTACGTTCAGTGAGATAAGGGTGACTGGAAAGGATAGAGCAATGATAGAAAAATGAAGTCAGCAGCAAGCAGGAAAGACCAGAGCTTAGGAAACCATGGTGGAGGAGTCTGTTTCTTATCCTACTTCCAATAGGGAGTCATCAGATGATCGTAAGAGAGTAACAAGCTGGGTGCAGTGGTGCACACCTGTAATCCCAGCACTCAGGCAGGCAGAAGCAGGCAGATCTCTGTGAGTTCCAGGCCAGCCTGATCTACAGTCAGTCCAGAACAGCCAAAAAAATAAAAAAGGAGAGAATAACAGGGTATCATCATTTTTAAACCTCAAACACAAAAAAATTATTTTGCCCAATGCAGTGTTTCTACAGATACAACTGTATCTGTCACCTTCTTTCTTCTATCTATCTATCTATCTATCTATCTATCTATCTATCTATCTATCT